GCTGTAATTACTAAAAAATTTATACGAGTGTTCACCAAAGCCCGCCACATACGGGGGATGTCTTTTAAGTTTTGCATATAGAAACGTAGTAGGCCGCGCGGATCGAACTTCAGTACTGAATCTTAACCTTAGTAAACTTAAATTCAAACTTTCACAACAATATATGACAATACATGTAGTGTTCTCACTACAGTGAATTTTTAAGTGTCACCAAGTCATTAGAAAAATGGAACTCAACCGAGAACATTTTCGCGCCATAATTTATTACAACTTTATCAATTATCGCAACAAGAATGCCTTGCTGAGTTACTGTCTGTTTGCGACAACGAAGCGCCACATCAGTCGACAATTTCCCGTTGGTATGGAGAATTCAAACGTGGACGGGTGAGTCTTAGCGACGATCCCAGGGTGGGTGCACCAAAAACGGCAGTCACCCAGGAAAACGTCGATACTGTGCGCAAACTCATCATTGAAGATAGACATGTGACATATCGCGAGATTGAGGCGTCCTTGAAGATCTCAAAGACATCAATTCAAAAAATTTTACATGAAGAATTAGGAGTAAGAAAATTAGTTTCTCGTTGGATACCCCACCTGTTGACTGAAGAGCAGAAAGCAGCCAGGGTTAATTGTTGTCAAAAAACGCTTGACCGTTTCAATTCCGAAAACTCAAAAAATGTGTACACCATTTTTAGTAGTGATGAATCGTGGATTTACTGTTATGAACCAGAAAATAAACGACAGTCGGCTGTTTGGGTGTTCCAAGGTGAAGAAAAGCCAACAAAAGTCATCCGTTCTCGAAGTGTTTCGAAAAAGATGGTCGCGAGATTTGTGTCAAAAGCGGGTCATATTGCAACAATTCATCTTAATGAGCAAAGAACTGTTACTGCGGATTGATATACCACCATTTGCTTGCCAAAAGTCATCACCGAGCTTCGAAAAATCAACCCCGAAAGAAGAATCATCCTCTACCAAGACAATGCAACCTCGCACACAGCCCAAAAAACAAGGCAGTATTTAACGGAAGAAAACGTGGAATTATTGGACCATCCTCCATATAGTCCCGATCTATGTCCTAACGATTTCTTTACTTTCCCGAAAATTAAAAACACATTGCGTGGCAAAGGTTCCATTCACCAGAAGAAGCAGTTGACGTATTCAAAAATGCCTTTTTAGATCTGCCAGCAAACGAGTGGAATAAGTGCTTTGAAAATTGGTTCGGACGCATGCAGATGTGTATTAATCTTCGTGGAGAATACTTACAATAAAGTCATTTAAAACTACCTACCGTGTTTTTTTATTTCCATATGCAAAACTTAAAAGACATCCCTCGTAGTCTGTTATTTGCAGCACGCTCAATATTTTACACACTTCGTTGCTAAAAATACATACAAATCCTGCTTAAAAAATTATAGTTGAAGTGATGTTTCCACAGCTAGATGCCCTTAGTTTTCTAGAGATATCTAGTGTGCCAGCATCTTTCCTCATTTTCTTCTTGAACTTGATGTTTTCCCCATTTTACAGTCTCAGGTGTCCAACACAGTATTGCAATAAGTATTATGTTTAAATCATATTGGTCAGGAGGGAACTGAAAATCTGGATATTGAAGGGGAAAAATTAATAGCTGTAATGAGAAAGATTAAGAACATGGAGAAGAAGTGAAGAATGTACAATCATTAAAAAAAAGAGAAAGAACGGAAGTTGATAAACGGATTCATAATAATATATTTAAGGCATTAATGACATATGGATCAGAGGTGTAGCAGCTAACACAATAAGGGCAGGCTATAGTGAACAAAATCCATTTTTGGAGAATATCGGCACACTTCATTGTACATTGTATTAAAAACAATACTTCAGGTATGTTAAGGTGAGAAAAGCTTCAGCCTTTAGTTGGGTACCTCGACAAAATTAGGACAAAGGAAACTCTTATTACTTTATTTTTCTAGCTTTTGATGAACTTTGTGATCATTATCAGGCGAACAGTAGGTGAGATTGTTGCTAAATGTTATTAAATAGGTCAATGAGAACACTTGGTAGCCTGATGAAAGCTGGATCTATGGTAGCAGTCTTAAAATTTTGTAAAGTACACATAGCTATATATGGAAATAGCATCTCAACGGACTAAAAACATAAAGATTGATTGTTAAATTTTTGTTGCTTTTACATCGTGAAACAATCTTGCTGATTAACTAAAAGGGAAGTAAAATTACCAAGAAAGTGCGTATAATGGACACCACAGAAATGAAAGAAACAAGCTGTCACTTGAATACAAGGAACCTCGAGAGCTGTTTCAGAAAGGAATATACCTGAGCAGTATTGCTAGGTTAGGCAGGCTGGGAGATTAGGAATAGGATTATGCTTAGCGTTAGATGTTTTCAGGTGGATCAGCTTTTCGTTCTTAAGCCGCATCAGCGATCGCGCAAAACATTGTGCGAAGAAAATGGGCCCCTATCAACCTCCATTTACTTCCAAAAATAAAAGTCCGATAATCCTCAATTATCGCGTGCATAAATAAGATCGCCCAAATTGCCTGTCTGCCGTTATGAGGAAATTGATAGCCGAGAAATAGCTCAAGAGCTTAAGGAAATGCTCCAAAGACTTTGGACACCCATTTCACACTATTTTGTTGATTTCTGACAGGACTACAAATACAAGTTATAACGTAGAAGAGGGATATACGTGGAAGAAGAACATGCTGAGCAAAGCATATTTTATTATTATTATTAAACAACAAATTTGAGTTGAGTACAAGTACTATAAACTCAAACACATAATAGATAATAGTATACAGACAAAAGAAATATACCAATTCGACAATCTTAGCACTTCTGAAGTAGACATATACAGAATGGAAACAATATGTTAAGCACTGCGTTGTCTATCATAATTGTTTTTGAAACTGTTGACGGATGGCGAGTTCACTACATAAGATGGAAGACTGTTCCATGCATCGAAGACACGGTTTGAGATAAAGCGCTGACGGGTAGAGGTTCTAAAAGCTTCCTTCTGCAATTTGAAGTTATGGCCTCTGAGATTGTTCGTTGCCAGACGAAACAGATGCGACATGTCCATGCCAAACAAATTATGCAGTGCTCTGAAGGTGATGATGAGATCTCGTCGCATTCTTCTATCAGCAAAAGCGGGCAGGTTATATAACTCGAGGCGGTCTTCATAACTCGGCTTACGTGTGCCATAAGGCATACGTGTAGCACGACGCTGAACGGCCTCTAATAAGCTGCTATCGAGAGCAAGGTTTGAATCCCATACCAAGGCAGCAAACTCCAGTAGGGGTCGTACGAAAGTTGTGTACCAGAAGGTGCAACCGCTAAATGATCTTTCCATCATATATAGCAACCGCTTTGCCTTAGAGGTTATGTTCTGAACGTGCTCCGACCAGGTGAGCCGGGCATTAACTGTCAAACCAAGGTATGTGTGAAAAAAAAACAGTCTCTAAGGTATGTTTGCCAATCTTGTATGTTAAGTTAGGATTATTCTTTCCCAGGTGGAGAACGTAGTATGTCGAGAGATTTAAAGGCAGGAACCAAAGTTCTGACCACTTTTTGATCATCTTGAGGTCTTCTTGAAGCACAGATGAGTTCATGGCAGTGTTGTAGACTTTGGTATCATCTGCATAGATGGAACACATAGAAGAAAGTCGGGTGGGAAGGTCGCTTGTATAAAGAAGAAAAAGTATTGGCCCTAGCACAGATCCTTGTGGAACTCCATTAGTAACACGATGGCTAGAAGAATAGGCGTCTCCAGCACGGACGGAGAAAGATCTATCTAACAAAAAAGATTCAATCCATAACAACAAATCTCCCCTTGGTTCACTCCTTGTCAAGTAACAGTTAGAATTGTATTGTAACTAGATTTGTAAAGTTGAGTAGTAGTTATTTTCCTAACAAGTACGGAGATTGATGCAAGTGTTGACAACGACACGTTGTAAACGGTAATTGAATTTAATACCCGGTGACATTTTAACTTTATATACTTGCCGAAATGAAAACTGAAATGCGTGCGGAAAAGCACCAATTTCAGTATGCTGGTAGATAAAAGTTTTTTTAAAACTCATACGACCATTTCGACACGCGATTTGGCGCAGTTAGTAGGATAAAAACGCAATTTTCCGAAAACTCGCAGCATAGTGACTGATTTCGTGGAAATGTGGACATCATCCCTTAAGCACCACGAGCAAAAATTAGGCTCTTTGTTCTGCCTGCCGCCTTCCAGAAAGAAAGAAATAGAGGTTTTGGAAGAAACAACACCACAAGAAAAAAGACCTACTCAGACCACAAAGATGAAGAAAATCCAGAGTCAAGCGAAGAAAGGCCCAAGAAAGAATCAAATAGCAGAAAACTTTCTGGAAGTATTTTTTAAAATATAAATTTACCATCTTTAACGGATGGTTATCAATCTTCTTGTTTTCGAAAAATATATACGAATAATAATAAGATATACATTTAAAAAAATGTCGGTATTTCGCGGTGGCTTGTCCTCAGAATCTGCACAGACTTTAAAACTTGCATTACCAACATTTTGTGTATCATTTTGGGTACTTTCAGGATTTGCTTTCACCTCCTGAGAGAATTTGCTACCCCTCGTTCTTCAAAAAGTATTTGAGGCAGGTAGGATCCGCCCCCTGTGAGAAAAATTGCAGGCGCCGATGTGTGCTCATACATGACAAGAAATATGGCAACAAGTAAATTCATTCTGTAATGTTAGATTCTTAATGAGTACAAGATGATGTTTTTACTAAATATACCACCGAGTTAAATGGCATGTACACCCTGTGTAGTAATAATTGATAACTTCATCAAAACATAATAATATCGTCAATGAGAAATACTGTGATGTTTCCGTCAGCTCCTGTTCTGATAGCATGACAGCGTCCAAAATGAAAAATATCCAATGTTATAATGGGATGTCTGCCAATTTTTGCACCTACCTATCTATCCAATTAAACGAAGTTGCTAAACGAATAAATTGGCATTTGAGCTGCGAAAATTATTTAGCGTGAAGTGCATGAGGTGAGAATTGAAGGACATACTGAATGACTAAATAAAAATTGGAGATCTAATAGAAGCAAGCAGTCGCTTGGAGAATATAAAGTCGGACAGGAAGTGATCATAAACAAAAGTACACGACAAAGAATTCAAGCGATATAGTCAGGCCATACATGGCTAGTCATGGACAGCTGTTTCGTGCTATTTGGAAACTCATCAGCACGGTCTAAACATGGCCTTAGCTACAACAACGAACGAAAGCTGGGCAATTATCCTCTAACCAGGATATAAGGTCTATCGAAAAAAAAACAGCACACAGAGCCATCTATTACCAGAGTAGCGAGTAAACCGCATGTGCTATATCACCAGAGTCGACGGCATATAGCGGTCACAAAGGTGACCCAGCTGTCTAGTGTGAACGTCTTGCTGTTTTCATTCTCATGGTGGTCTTGTTTCGAAAAATGTAAGTATTTGAGAAATTCTAAATGATATTAAATTTCAGTTATGCGTTTCGTGGAGATTTGCGAAATTCATAATTAATTATTGAGAATTCAAAAAATGCCTTAAAATGACTCTATACGATCATACAAAGGCTCCGTGTTGTTTTTCCGCGAAATCATTTAAAAATAGCAATATGAACAAAAGCTGTAATTGAGGAAATATCATACATATTCTATTATAATTCGCGAAAAGGCAAAAAACTGAGAGAATTCGATTGGAAAATGTTATTTTTAACATTCTTTACAAGAAACAACAATGATGTGTGCCTTTCATCAACGTTTTATGATAATTCTTGAATAATGATATTTTTCAGCAATTAATGAAGGTACTAGTGAAAGTAGCAGCCTGTCCTTGCTTTGTGACTAAATTAATGCATAATGATAATCTAAATTCGTACTTAAATGATTCATCCATTTAACTAAATTTCGAGGAGTAGGAATTCTATAAATACATCCCTATCTTTGTATGGTAAATGTTTAGACTCCAACTTTTGCTGGTCGGCGAGCAGCTCTTTATTAATCAACGCTGCTGCAAGCGCCAGCCGCTGGCGACCAAGAAGACAGATTAAAAATATTTTGGCGCCATCCGGTTTATGAGTTTGCTTTTTTTTGATCGCCGAGGTACGCTTTATATACGATATGACTGCGATGTTTATGAGTACCAAATGCCATTTTTTTCTGTAAGGTAAACACTGTAAATTTTTATCTAGCTTAATATTTCATTCAGTAAGCTTTTGGGAAATGTATACACTATCGCCAATACGCTATTCAGTTTAGAAATAACAGTTTAGGTTGGAATTTTGTAGGTCAGATAATAGTTAGTGTTTATAGAATATAAAAGCAAACAAAACGATGACAATAAACGTGCGTACATACTAAAAGTTATTATACAGTGCTTTTCTTTTTTAAACGGAACAATTATATATAATATTTTAGAGTAAAATTGACAGATGAAAATGTTAAGATGGCCGCTGTGCGTCATCTTAGAAAAAAAATCATATGAAAACGGGGATCTTGTGGCACATCATTTTGAAGCTCCTGTTGAGTACTTTATAACTCTAGAATATAAAGTGAATACCTGTACTTACTACAAAATGGTGGTACATTTAATAATTACTTGAACAAAAACCCACTAACATGCATATCTCTACAAATAATTGTAATTCCCTGCCGTATCCACACAACTTGTTTTGTTATTTTTTGTTGACAGTGACAAGAATATCAGTACGAAAACAAACATCATTGTACAGTTAAAATATTCTTATTTAGTTTTCGGTTTTAGTGCTAGATATTGTTCGAACTCTTTTAAAATGGTCAATTCTCGTCTATTGGAAGAAAAACTCGAAGCGATGTTTATTTATGTTGCGACGCGTAACTTTCACGAGACCGAAAGGATTTTTAATGATCGTTTCCGGAATCGTCCTATCTGTAAAAAATATTTAAGGGAACTTGTATCTAAATTTACAGCTACTGGTAGTGTAAACAACAAAAAGGTCCCCATGTCATCCGACCACCCCGGAAGAAAAGCAAGTTTAGATAATTGATGAGATCATAGTAAATCCCCAACAGTCTGCTTCCTCTATCGCGAATGTATGTGAGGTTTGTCCTTCTACTGTATGGAGACTTTTGAAAAAGAATAAGTATCACCCGTACAAAATTCAAATGGTACATCAGCTAACTGAAGATGACCCTGATCAAAGAACAGAATTCTGCGAGACTGTGACGGAAACCATTGCAAGGCATCCTACCTATATCCAAAATATTTCTTTTAGTGATGAATGTACATTTTTTTTCGACGGTAACGTGCATAGACAAAATTGTCGTTATTGGAGTGACACCAATCCTCACGTCTTTCGGGATACTCATACTCGATATCCACAAAAAATTAATGTTTGGGATATTGGGAAATCATTTCTCTATTCATCGAACAAACTTTAACCGGAGAACTGTATTTGGATATGCTGGAAAATACTATTGACCCTCTTCACCGAAATAGTCGAAGCGAATCCTAATTAATTCGATATTTATATTGTATTCCAGCAAGATAACAATTTTCCGGGTCGTTGGATTGGCCGCCGAGGACTTGTGGAATGGCCAGCTCGCTCGCCAGATTTGACACCTTTAGACTTTTTTTATGGGGCTTTTTGAAGCAAAAGGTGTACGAAACTGAACCTGCTTAAATATTGGATAGGTATACGGCTGAGGATAACAAATATTTGTAGAAATATTGAGATTACTATGTTTGAAAATGTTCGACGCGTAATTACGGGCCGGCTGTTATTGTGTCAAAAAGTTCAAGGGAACCATTTCCAGCATCGTCCTGAACTCAACGTATTTATTCGAATTATCAAGTTAAATGTCAATGTATTCAGGTAATTATTAAATGTACCAACATTTTGTAGTAGGTAAAGGTATTGACTTTATATTCTAGGGTTATAAAGTACTCGCCAGGAGCTTCAAAATGATGTACCACAAGACCCCGTTTTCTTATTATTTTTTTTTAATTAATCTGTTCAAAAAATCAAAGGGGAGGGGGACATTAAAGAAAAGCACTGTATGATCATTCAGACTCAAACAAGTTAAAAATGTTTTCTTTAAAATGGAAAATTACAAAGATATTAAAAGCCAGATTTCAAAGCAACAATGAGCAAATATGCAAAACTGTAGAAGACAAAACATCCTTACCTATTGAATGAAACACGCAAAACACGTCCCTAGGGAAACAGACATCCCTTAGGTTAACTATGGAAATAAAAAATAGGACAAAACAATCAAAAAATGAAACAGAGACTGCATTGGACCAACTGATGCAAAACAGAAGAAATCCAGACTGTTTGTCCGAAGATATTTGTATACGAGAAGCAGTCATGAATTCTGAGAAAACATTATATTGCTGATACATTTTCTAATCAAAAAGTTATAAATCTGGAACGTCGACGATCAGATGAAAGCCACTTCGCCAATCAAGCGTTCTTCGTAAGTGTCTAATAGACTAAGTCAAAGTAGAACTTATGATTATTCTGGAAATGATGACTTGCCAAAGATGACGTAGCGGTAGAAGACAGCTAGATCGTCGACGGATTGTGAGTGCGAAAGGTTCCCGAGACTCCGTTGGAGCAGTGTCATCGATCAGTCGAACAGCCCTCCTCTGAGTAGCATCAAGTATAGTAGGGGCGGTAGCACTCCAAACATGTGAGTAGTACTCGAGGCTAGGTCTTATCTGGGCCTTGTACAGAGTGTACGCAAATCCTCGGTGAACCATACTGCGACCAGACAACTCAAATGGGTCTTAGGTAGAACTCGGCATCCATCCAACTTAAAGAAATGTTTTAAAAATGTTTATCCTCCTCCTCGCTGCATATGGAGTTCCTTTCAGAAATATTCAAAATTAAAGTGGCACTTGCGGGAAGAGAGGGCTTAGGTATTAAATTGGAATAGTACATAAAATGTTAGTAATGCGATAAAATGAATTTTTAGAGTAATTTGCTTGTTTTTTGCTTTGAGCATTTGTTTATTTCTGTCCAAAGTCGCCAAAGATCCAGTTCAGGGCCAGCCGTCCTCATCCATTAAACGAAGTTCCCAGCCTCTGAAACGATGTATACTTAGATTTAGTAATGGCACTAGATGTCACTATGTGCTGTCTTATTTCAACCTTATACTCTGCATGGATAGTAATTGCTCAGCTTTCGTTGTCCTACCGACACCAAGCCTAGACTATGCTGATGAGTTGCCATATAGCACAAAACAGCTGTCCATGGTTAGCCGCCTGTTAAGATTTAGTAATTCCAACACCTGCAAAATAATGTATCTACAATGTTTTAACTTCTTTGCATCATTGAAACTGCACCATTCCTAAAATTCGTCGGGATTCCGGTACGCGTATCGCATCGTGTTATAGCCGCTTGTGATCCTAATTTTAAAATTTGCACCATCGATGATGTTGCGGGAGTCAAAACGAGTGTTCAAGGTATATAATCTCAGGAGGAGTGCAGAAGCCAGTCTTCCGAATACATGCGACGACTCAAAACAACTGTTTCGTGTTACGACTCGGCCACCTGTGATTTCAAGGATTTTTTAAAATGGTTAGTGATAGTTTTGTGTTGCGATTTTGTCTTCACGCATATAATAGTTGAGATACCATTTGTTGGTGAGAAAATGGATTTTCGTAAAAATGTATTTACTTATGTTCTGTTCTTTAAGAGTTTACTTTAATCACGAAATAAAGAGAGCCCAAATAGAAACAGAAGAATTATTTATGTAAGAAAAAGAGTTAAAGAAGGTCTTTACATTTTTTGTGGTTTTATCTCTAACTGACTTGAAATCATACAGAGTAAAAAATGGGTACCCTTAAGAGTAGCTAATAACCTGAAGTACTTACTATATATACAAAAGCGAAAATAGATGCCCTGATATTTCAGTAGTCCTTTTCATTAGTCAAAAATGCTTTCAAAGATCCTAGAGCTACGATATATGATTAAGGATTATAACTATGTTTTCTGGAATTGAAGAATACATAACAATAAATTTTGTGTAATTTTCGATAAATATTAAGTATGCATTTTTCATTGCATCCGAAAAATAATTATGTTCTCAAATAAATAGTAAGTAAAACGAGAAAAACTGCAAAATACGAAATCGCTTCGGTAATAATTGAAAATATGTAATACAACTTTCTGTACCAGATATTTCTACAAATACGCCGTAAATCAGAAACGTCCCTCTAGAAGATGCTTGAAACTCGAGCTTTTGAAAATCTTAATCCTAGTCCTACAAAGATAATTAAGTACGATCAAAGGGAAAACATGAACACTATAATTTTCAAACTTGAGGAATGCATAACAAAAAAGTATTTATCTTCGGATAAATATTGACTACACATTTTTCATTATACATTATATTCTCAAGTAACTAGCAAGTAAAACGAGAAATATTGCAAAAAACGAAATCCATTCGGTGGTCATTGATAACAACACAATTTTGTGTTCTCGAAATTCTACGCTCTAAGCCAGAAAAGTTATCCTAAAATGCATTTTGTGTAAACAATGTCTTAAATACGCCCAAGAGTATCGGCATACAATCTTAGAACCTTGATTTTGATTTACTATATTGGTAATAGCTTTGTCAACATTGCAAAGCTTTTCAACGATGTAGTGCCATAGAAGATTTCTCAATAGACCACGCAAAAACCTTGCTTAAATTGAAGACACTGTATCGTGGAAAATCTTTGGGTCCAATGACAATTTTTTTCTACCTGTTCAAATCTACAACGTACTAAATTATTAAAAAATAGTTCAATAAAGCTTAAATTCAATAAATAATGGTGATGTAAATGCAATAAAAAACTATTACTTAACAATTTGTGTATTAAATTTCTTTGGTAAATAAAGTAATAATAACTTTATTTGTTAGTGTGGCCTTCCATATTCCCACCTTATGGATATCCCTCATGAGTATATACATTGTTTATACTGTTATTCATTGCATACCTATTTCAAATATTACTATTAATTTTCGTCAGCACTATAGATATTACCTATAAGCATTGTATTACTTCAATAATCCAACAAACCGTATTGGCTGTCATGGAAAACACTATAACCTGGACCTGAAAATAGCTATATGTAATGAAATCTCCTACTAGCACATATATTTTTGAATTTTGCTATGACTCCGATATTTATAAGCATTTTTATTCCTTCTCGTGGTCGTATTCAGAAAAGTTTTATTGGTTCTTGTGAACGTATGAAATAGAAAACAGTAGATTATTGACAAAAAATGTACTATTTTACTTTCCATACCTACTGGGGAGCGGCGTACTCGTCAAGAAAGTGTTGGTATTCAACGTTTTCTGTTCTTTCATGTGCCAGGTTTGTATGGAGGGTGCTTTTCAGAGGTTTGTTGGGGGATGTTACTAAAGAAGACCTTGTTATATTTTATTTCAGCAACTATTATTCTAAGTTTACGCGATTGCTAATTTCAAGATCAGTTTTTGATAACCTTTGGAATTAAGGAATAATATGCAAACTTGGTATTGGTACGGTCTTAAGGTTTTATTCATTTTTACATGCGTAACAAAAAGCTTTCAAATGGATCTAAATTAAGAACATCCTCTACTTTTTGTAGTGCCCTAGCTATATTTGCAGGAATCCCTTTTTAAAAATGCCAAACCCACTTTTTGTACGAATCGCAGGTTGTGCGTGTCTATGATTCGTATATATGCCTAACTTATAATTAAATTAATACCTTTTTGCAAATTATGCTTCAATTTCTACTTTCATAGGTTTGTCCCATTTTTTTTTTGTTAAGCTTGTCCCACTTTTTTTTCGTTAGGTTTGTTCCACTTTTTTTCGTCGGGTTTGTCCCACTTTTTTCGTTAAGTTTGTCCCACTTTTATTGTTAGGTTTGTCCGACTTTTTCTTGTTAGGGTTGCCCCACCTCTTGTCACTAGGTCTGTCTCACTTTTTTCATTAGATTTGTCTCACTTCTTTTCGTTAGATTGACAGCTGGCAGATGACAGGTGACAGATGACAGATGACAGATTAAAAATCATACCAAACCAAACATAAGCCAAACTAAACTACTAGAACAAGAAGGTTTGTCCCAGTTTTTTGTCAGGTTTGTCCCTCTTATCTTCGTTAGGTTTGTCCCACTTTTCTCGTTAGGCTTGTCCCACTTTTTTTCGATATGTTTGTCTCACTTTTTTCCTTTGGTAAGTTCTACTTTTTTCGTTTGTCCCACTCCTTTCCGTTAGGTTGTGATACTTTTATCGCCAGGTTTGTCCCGATTTTTGTCATTAGTATTGTTCCACTTTTTTCGTTAGGATTGGCCCACTTTTTTTCGTTTGTTTTGTCCCACCTTTTTCGTTAGGATCGTCCCACTCTTTTTGTTATGTTTGTCCAACTTTTATTGTTTGCTTTGGCCCACTTTTTCTCGTTAGGTTAATCCCACCTTTTGTCGTTAGGTTTGTCCCACTTTTTTCATTAGGTATATCTCACTTCTTTTCTTTAGATTGACAGATGACAGATGACAGATTACAGATTTCAAATCATACCAAACCAAACCTAAACCAAACTTAACCTATACACCAAGAAGTTAGTAATTTTCGGCTTTATGACTACCGTTTCATCCAATATTTGATCATACCGAATAACGGCGTCCTCCTTTCTTGGACAGAACAATGCACATCCTTGAATATATTCCGAGCTCTGAGAATGTATATAGATAGCCAAACCAAACCAAACCAAAACCAGACTATAAAGCTACATCAAAAAGTTAGGTCATAGTTTGTTTCACTATTTTTTCGTTAGGTTTGTCTGACCTTTTTCGTTAGGTTTGTTCCGCTTCTCCGTTAGGTCTATCCCAGGTTTTTCGTTAGGTTTGTCCCATTTTTTTTTGTTGGGTTTGTCTCACTTTTTTTCGTCAGGTTTGTCTCACTTTTATCCGTTAGGTTTATCAGACTTTTTTCGTTAGATTTGTAGCATGTTTTTCGTTAGGTTTTGTCCCAATTTTTTCGTTAGGTTTGTCCCACGTTTTTTCATTAGGTTTGTCCTACTTTTTTCCGTTAGGTTTATCCGACTTTTTCTCGTTAGGTTTGTCGCACTTTTTTCGTTAGGCTTGTCCCATCTTTTTCGTTAGGCTTGTCCTACTTTTTTTCCGTTAGGTTTGTCCCACTTCTTCGTTAGGCTTATCCCAGGTTTTTAGTTAGGTTTGCCCCACTTTTTTTCATTGTTTGTCTCACTTTTTTGCGTTGTGTTTGTCCTACTTTTTTTGGTTCGGTTTGACCTATGTTTTTTCGTTAGGCCTGTCCCACTATTTTTCGTTAGGTTTGTCCCACTTTCTTGCGTTACGTTTGTCCTACTTTTTCTAGATAAAAGCTGACTGTTGTTGATCACAGGCTTGCTAATAACCACATAAATAGCTCTTTTATACAAACCCCATCTCCATACAGGGGGGTATTCAGGATGGAGCTTTTGGGGTTCAAGCCCTCCCAATATCCATGGAGTAATACGTTTTCCCTATGCTGTACTTGTCCTTTTTGTGGATACGCCAGTGGATCCGTGCTTTCTATTTAAAAGCCGGCAATTTGTTGAATAGACAACCACAGGCAATAAATCAAATTCCCCGCCAACCAACAGACTTTGTTCTTCCTGAGAAATTAATGGAATCCTAGTTGGCCACGAGCCTACTTTAGCAACAACTTCAAATATAATAATTGATACCTACCTGGAAAACGTAAACACACAAGTTCTAAAAATCTAATAAGTCCGGAAGTCAGGTACTTTGATCTTCGACAACTTTTGTGACACTGGATTCCTTTCAATAGTCACTTTGATATAGGGTCATGTTTTCGGCAAATAAATTAGTTTTAATACATGTTTTCATGTTGCGGCATTAACTTGTCGTTGGCTATCTACTTTAACTTGTTATTTTAAGAAACGTGGTAATTTATAACTGCTAGTGACAAAACTAGTGACATTTAGTTCTGAAATTTTGAGGGTTTATAATGGTATAATAAATTGAGTTTTGCTGTAATGTATTAATGGCCCGTAGGGAGGTATATTTGATCCCAGATGACTGACTTAGTATATTCCATGTTCACGTTGGATTCCTTTTAGTGGATACTTTGATTTAGGTACATGCTCTTATTCAATAAACTCTTCAGTTAATCTGGTTCACTTGATTCAGGTTACTATGAATTCGCATTAACCGGAAATTGGTTATCTACTTATACAATTGTCAGATGCTAGTAGCAAAAGTGATAACGATTATTGGCAATAGTCAATAAATACCTATGTATATGTTTTGTTCGAAATCGGGAAATCGGGCTATGGAAAATGGCATAGATTCAGGCTGAACTGAATATGTTTGTTTTCTATCTCTGCAACCATGACCAACCGCATTCAACGTTGTTTCATGATTTTTAGCAATCATCAGAACAGTATAGGTGTGGCTGTGTGGAGGCAGACAAATGGAATACAAACAGGCGAGTCTACTGAGAAACTCAATATTTTGTGAGCAAAGGATTGGCAGTGCTGACAACTGCCATCTACAAATATCCGACAAAACTTGATAAATAGAAGTCACTAGTGATGGAAAGTTTTCGTCTAGGTGTAGAATGCTGTAAAGTCTAAAACTTATGGATAATTCTCCATGCTTGCCTGGTCAATAAAACCACATGTATTGACAGATCGTCTTTGGTGTGGTAAGCTTTTTAATGACAAACGAGATCTTCTTCAATACAAAAGCAGGGTATTTTTTTAGTCAAGTCTAGAAATAACTGGATGAAAATTTAAGGTTATACTATTTCACCACGATCTTGAACTAAATCTTATTACAACAAACAATTAGCCAGGGTTCTCATTTCGGAACAAAAACCCATTTTCGAGTATAACTTTAGCAGTACTTGATAACGTGTCCAAAACATGATGTCCGATGAAAAATGTTTTTTTATTTTTTTCATTGGATAAGGCTACTGGTCACCTTTTTAAATGTATACTATTATCAGTTTTTTTGTTTTTAAAGGGATCTTAGTTTGCACCTTCACGAAAAAGTCTACAAGAATGGATAAATATCAAATCGTACCTACCACTGCCCACCTATCTACTTTAACTATGTTCAAATTGTAATTTTATATTTTCTTCCAGACTGAAGCACTCGATGAGGAGCAGGTGAATCGTAAGTATATAACGATATAATGATGTCTGCATTTGCATGGCTATTAGTCTACTGTATAGTAATTAATTGGGATGTGTTCGTTTTACTTTTTTTTTTGGTATATCTTCATCGTCTTAATAATGTGAGAATTCAGTCCTACTACGAAATGTGGTACAAACTGGATGTTAGATAAATCGTGATGTCCTACTTCAGATAGTAGCTCAGAATAGGTAGGATTCAAATAAAGTGCCATATTATTTGATAGAATTGTATAAAATACTCTTTGTTGTGCTAGATGCAAGATCTCACATCGTAAGCTAACGTTTTCATCAGGTTAGTGTGACCACACCTGTTGTTCGTACAAGCTGAGCTACTTTTCTGGTTACTTTTTGATTGCTGATAAAAAGCCTAATAGAAAATTGGAGTATCCTCAAAACTGGGACTTGCCTCTACACGGCGAATATATGTTAGAAAAATAAGTTTTTTCTGGTAACGTATACACTAGTCTCAAGAACTTGGACAAAGCCTAATCCGGTCCTCAACCTCGGTCAGATCAAACGTGAACCGTACTATGCGCATCCACAAAACCTTTACACGTCGGTTCTAAACAGAAAAAAAAACAAAAATTTACAATCATACAGCATATTATTACATATTCAATGGCGAGTAGACCGTACTTACTATACGAGCCCCTTCCCACTTCAGTTGGCCCAACTATTAAAATCTTAATTTTTTTCTTATCAAACACAAATAATAAAAATGTAGCAGGGTGTTATAGGTTTAAAACATTAACAATGAATATTTTGATAATATATAGTAGAAAATATCTACTTTATGACTCCCTAATCAAATTTGCAGCATAAAAATAACACATGTTGCAATTACTGCATATCAACCTATTTTCATTTCAATGCAAAATAAGTCTATAACGCATAGGTGGCTGTGAAAAATAAAAGTCATGACAATTGTTTTTGTTAATTACACGTGACAGAATACGTTTAAAGTAGTTTTGGGTAGTTAAGGTTTTCAAAATGGGTAGAAGAAAGGTTATTAGTGAGAAAATTCGGTTACTGATAATTAAATTTTTTAATTCTGGGAAATCAAACTCAGAAATTGCAACTTTGTTAGACTTATCGCGGTACAGTGTGAGAAATATTGTTAGAAGATATAACGTAACTGGTTCAGTAAATATTAAACTACGGTATGTGAAAAAAAAAATAATAACACAAATGACGACCGAAGAGCATTAAGAAGAATAATCGTGAAAAACAGGCGTGCCAATTGTTTACAATTAAGTGCTCTGTGGAGTGACGCTGTTGGAAGGAGAATTTCGAGGTCCACAACTCATATAGAGGCCCACAAACTGGGATTTAGCACTTGCAAGGTAAGTTTTCTTATAAAAAAAAAGTGAAGTAAAAACCCTAAAGTTGCACAACTTGTTTATAGGCCAAGAAAAGCCACTATTAACTCCACTGCAAAAGAAAAATCGGGTTAGATGGACAATGGACACCTCAACAATGGTGTGCAATACAATGGAGTGATGAGGCCCGATTCGAAGTTTGTGTTGGTGACAGTCGCAGTAGAGTTATTCGCAAAAAAAATGAAGCATTCCATGTTGAGTGTCTGAAGAGAAAAGTGAAATCTCCAGCATCCGTTATGGTCTGGGGCAGTATGTCATCAAAAGGTGTAGGAAAACTTCATTTTATTGATGGAAATGTGGATACAAACAAATATTTGGCAATTTTAGAAGTATCGCTTTTACCGGTGATGGAAGAATGTTTGACATCCGGCCAAGATTTTGAGTTTCAGCAAGATGGTGCATCGTGCCATACCTCAAAAAAGTCTATAAAATGGATGGAAGAAAATAATGTATCACTTTTGAAATAGGTTTCTAGCAGTCCAGATCTGTCACCTATTGAAACTTTGTGGCACGAGATGAAAAAGGTTCTACGACAACATCCTGCTCGTACAATCGCCGAACTGAGACAAAAGCTTCAAGAAATATGGGATTGTTTTGCACCAAATTTTTGCCAAAACTTAGTTAACACTATGCCCCAAAGAATTTCAGCCGTAATAAAAAATAAAGGTGATCTAACCCAAAGGTAATCTTTCAATTGTTGCTTTGTTAACTTCGCGCATTTATTCGCACATTGTTTATTTGTTCAGATGTTCTATTAGTTATAGGTCTAAGTGATTTCAAATATGTACTTTTTAAGACTAGAGTGTATCTAAAATGTTTTTGAGAAAACAAATTGTTTTAGAAGTAAATAGTTTCGTCATGTTTAGTTTATAAAGGCATATTTTGGTACAAATCTTGAAGTAGGCCAACTAAAGTGGGAAGGGGCTCGTAGTACCAGAATCGGCGATAAAACGGCCACGGCTAACAAGTCACTGTGACGGTCTTCGAAATGCTACCGAGGCTTCGCGACACCATGCAGATCGTTCTTAAAGATCCTTTGCGATTCTTGTTTTGTTTGAAGCGAAATGAAATGTTTAGTGTATAAAACTGAGGTAAACACAGTTGACGAACTACGTGTGCAATGCTTGGTTATGTCAAGTCCATACATGTGTCTGAATATATCACAGATAACTTTGTACAATACTTACAAGTATCATAGATGTACTTGAAAGTTCTTCTCGATGAACGGTGAGTACTTTTTCGCTGGTGTTCCACCGCACATTAGCTTTGTTATTACAAACGTAGATGAAAAGGAAACTCCCAATTTTCACCCTGTATTCGTTGAGTATTTCACATTTTTTTTTGTTTGACTGTATATTACCTGTCCATTTCACATTGCGTAAAAATTATGGAATGCGCCTGCCAGTAGCCTGTTTCGGCACCATCGCCAGCTGATGGTTAGATTTACGATCTCATTCTTGGTGAATTCCGGTGGAATGGGGAATACAAATACTTTTTATTTTGAAATGACGGGGCGCCATTCGTTGCCCATTCGTCATCGAGTTACACGGTATGCAGAGAGGTACACACATATTTTTTATTCAAGTGGAAAGTCAGCAGCTTTGAGAAATGAGTCTAGCTGACAGGCTGAACATGTTACTAATCACATGTACTTGTATGTATGTCAAATGAGAGTACATTACTGTTTTTTTTTAGCACATCGAGATTTATTTTTATTAGTGACATGCGACATGCATATTTTACAATTTTCGTGGAGTTGTAAAACTTATTGAATGTGAAATCAAATTTTTAATCAAAGCACCATCATTAGTAGGTGAAAACAATGCTAAATAGACTAAATCGTTGATTTGGAACAGAGATAATGTTGGAGCCAAGATGGAACCCTGGGGTACACCCGTTTTGACATTGTGAGATGAACAGGACAATCCATCTGCAAAGCTTCTCAATGCTGAATCAATGATTTGAAAATTTTAGTCGAAACTAAGCTACATTTTCACACTGTCTTTATGACCAGCCGTTTTTTTTAAATAAAAATAGCCTTATGATAGATTAAATTGTATCGCAAATTCAAGTCGAAACGTTGAAAAACGAGCTATTCCGGACCTGGTTAGAAAAGTGCATGACTCAGCTGTTTTGGTGTTTATGTAAAAACACACTTTGAGCGCGAGTCTGTGGCACATGAATGAAATATACAGGGTGGCGCATCGAAAACCAAACATACGCATTTACTGGCAACTCAGTTTTTTTTTTGGAAAAACGCTCAGACAACACAAGTTTGCATGAACCAAGGTCCTTTGTTACCCTACACATTAAATTAACTTATCTAGAAACTTCTTTTATAATATAATCTGCATGGCTATTGAATGTTAAATTTGAGTCTATCATAACTCCTAAATATTTATATCTGCTAATCTGTTTAATCTTATTATTTTCAATAATAAATCCGTCGTGCAGATAAGTATCCTGAACATTAAATTTAGATTTCAGTACCAGACACTTAATCTTATCAACATTAATACTAAGACCATTGTTCCCTAACCAGGCATATAATGTCTTCAAGTCTTCATTAGTGATTTTAACCAAATGGACTATGTTGTCACATTCCATGAAGAAAATTTCATCCTCTGCAAACAACTGAATTTTGCAATTTTTTACAGCCTTTATAGTATCATTTATATACACCACGAATAGATCAGGACCCAACACTGTTCCCTGAGGCACACCATGTCTATTTTATCTTAAAGAAGATAAGGAGTTTTTGTACTTTGTTCGCTGAGTTCTTTGTTCTAAGTATCCAGTGACCATCTTGAAACGTTGTCTTCAAAGCCATATTTTTCTAGTTTTTTTATCAACAAATTTCTATGTATTGTTTCGAATGCTCTCCTAAAGTCACAACACCCACATAATGACCCACACTCAAAACAGTTTTCCATCCTGAAATAACAGACTGAAGCGCACGCTCACATGAATGGTCCTTTCTAAAACCAGCTTGGTATTTTGTAAGTAATTTATTTTCTTCTACGTATTGACGTAATTGTTGATTGACAACAGTTTCTAGAAGTTTTTCATATACAGGTATCATATTAATTGGTCGATGCTCTTCACTCACTTTCTCTATAGGGATGACTGTTGACATTTTCCAATCCTGGGAAAAACATCCTGTTTGAATACTGGAATTTATAAGCTGGAGAAAGCAGTTGCCTATGACTTCAAAAGCCAATTTCAAGATTTTGGTATTAATTCCGTCGACACTGCTATTTTTATTTTTTAAATTGTTAGATGTATTTTTCTTAGTTCCTTCATTTGAACTGCTTTAAATGTACTAAAGCTATTTGTAGGAGTTGGTATATAATTCAAAGTATTTTCCATAAGTATGTCACCTATATCAATTGCCAAATTATTCACGCCGTTCAGAAAAATATCATTAAAACTCTCTATTGTCTCACTTTCTTTGTAAATAGTTACATCGAAATCAATACCTCCCATTGTTGGCGGTCTAAGCTGTTGTATACTATAGCTAGAAGAAAACGGCACTGCATAGGTGCATAGTAAGGATTTGTGCGCAAATAATATGTGTTGCTGATAATTCCATTGGTTTCTTGTCTCAAATACACTTACTTATTCAAAGCTAGAAATTAATTGGGCATCCACTATTTCTTATTCATTCTGGAAATTACATATACAAATCTGCTGAATTTCAGAAATGAGAGAGATAAGAAAAGAAAATCTCTGGTTGATGAAGGAACATGTGAAAAAATACGCTACAAGTAGAAGTATACTAAGTGACATATAAATCCGAACACCCAGTTTGAATAGTTTTATTTTAATAAAATTTTATATAAGTACTTAATGAAGCATAATAAGTAAATGATAAAAATTTCAAAATGATTGCACTGCTTTAAAGCCCTTTGACCTTTAATAATGTGTGGATGCACCCTGATGTGCTACGCATTCTCCAACGCGCCTAGGCATGCTTCTGATCAGGTGGTTAATGTCCTCCTGTGGTATCTCATTCCAGGCAACCACCAACTCCTCTCGAAGTGCTTCTAGAGTCTGAGTAGGACGTTGCAAATTGAGCAATCTCCTACCCATCATATCCCACACGTGCTCAATTGGGGATAAGTCGAGAGATCTTGGTGGCCATGGTAACAATGTGACATCATTATGTTGAAAGAAGTCTATTGTGACTCTTGCAACATGTGGTCGGGCATTATCTTGTTGGAAAGTTGGATCTGCCAGGGTGTCAAGATAGGGTATAAGATGGGGTTCTAGAACTTCGTGGATATAACGATGCGCGTTCTTGTTACCTCTGATGAAGATTAAAGGTGACCTGGAACCATAAGCTATAGCACCCCAAACCATAACTCCAACAGTGTGATGAACATGTCTTTCAACAAAAAACTGTGGATTCATCCTTTCACCACGTCGCCTTCTAACCCTGGCACGACCATCGTGCATGCCTAAACAAAATCGAGACTCGTCACTAAAGACAATACTGTTCCATTCCTGATCCCAGAGTGACCGTTGTCTGCACCACTCAAGGCGATTACGTCGGTGTTCTCGAGTTAAAGGGAGGCCCAGTGTGGCCAGTATGAGAACAAGCCAAAACTTCTCATTCGTCGGTAAACACTTCGCATGCCAATAGGTCTTCCGTGTTCTGCAAACCATTCATTTGCAATGGACCTGGTAGTGGAGAAACGGTCCCTTAAGGCCTATAATCTTAGGCGGCGATCTTCACGGTCTGTTGTTCTACGACGGAGTCCATTGCCCCTTGCTCTTTGCGTACGGCCTTCTCGAAGCCATGCCTGACAACACCTAACCACAGTGTCTACACTTCTTTGCACTCTAACTGCAATTGCCCGAAAAGAAAGTCCAGCTTCCCGAAGTCCCACTATACGGCCCCTATCAAACTCACTAAGTTGACGAAATCGTACAGGTCTCCGTACTCTAGGCATCGTAACCGATCGTAAAGGATGTCAATAACCAAAATCCGCCAACGTTGATTCTTTACTGCGGCTGAAATATTCATTTTTAGAGCGTTAGTGAATTAAAAAAAAGCAGTATAAAAACCGGAATGTAAGATAAATACATTCACCAACTTTTATTAAAATAAAACCATTTAAACTGGGTGTTCGGATTTATATGTCACTTAGTATATTTATGAAAATGTCAAGGTTATTACATTATTTTTTATTTCCAGTGATTTAAATTTTATAGAAATTTATTTTGTGATGTCAATAGAAAATACAAATCAGCGCATAGGCGTGGGGCGTTGCGAAAATATTCGATGTGTGATGCATAATTTTTCAATGACGTGGCTTAATTTTCGGGAGAACAATGTACGTATTTTTTTAAAATTCTATTTGAATTTTTTATCCCTGTACTGATCGAATCATCTGATATTGCGAGTCTAAACTCCGTATGTACCCAATCAAAAAGCAGCAGGTTCGACCCTGATTTGTGATATATTTTTCCGGTGCAAAATTGCGCGGAATTCAAGATATGTAAACACCGCACCGTTAAGTTTGAGCGTCGTGTTTACATTTTTGTACAATGCATTGACTCAACGATATTATACGCGTTCCATGATTTCCATACCGATGCTAAGCTAGCAATCTCACAGCCACTTCCGTTACATCTTAAAATAATCGCTGCTCTTAATGGATTGTAAACATAGGATGAAATTAACAGAATTATTTATTTGAATATTTTACCCCAAATTGATCCAGTTTACAGAGTTTGCTAGTGGGGAATTACAATCTTTTGCAGTCTGACTTATATTGATTGCTCGACCAAAGGCTCGCGAGTTACAATCTTCGCCTCGGAAGTTTGCGACTGCATATGTCAGACTGGAATTCGTTATGTCAAATTGCAATTTCTTATGACAGATTGCTATTATTGTGTCAAACCAAACTGCGTACTAGCTATCAGTCGCCTCCACTAGCTGTGTTTCTTGTTTCTTTTGAGATTGCGACACTCCTACAAAGATAGCACTCGCTTTGCAGACCTTTTCCAGCTCAAGGACATCACATACATCTCGCATATCAGAATCAATGATCAAATAACACGGAATCTGCGCAGATAAGCAGCTAAATCAGATCTTTATACTCATCCACTATAGTGCCCTATAACTCTGCAACCCACAAACCATGCTAGCGATATACGGGTTGCAATAATTTAGGCAAATATCAGGTGTGACAGGCAGATAGCTGCTCCACTCGTTCATCCAAGGGATTTGTTTATAATGAAGAAAACAGAAATCTTTTCACCTGTCACTATATGTTTTCCGTTGGGATTCAGGCTGAGCATTTGTGCACTATTAGAGAGTACATAGAAAAATGGGATCTGGATGCTCATTCACTCTCTTACACTGTTTCTATTAGTGAAGCCATTTGAGTTGACCAATCAGAGTCGAGGTGATCGCTCTGACTTCCGAACCACAAAATTCCATAGTCCAGTCGAACTAGGAAATTTTGAGATGATATTGCTTTTTGATAGCAAAACGGTCGCTGCGATATTCCTCCATACGTAAAGGGTACAATGGTATTAACTATTTTAACAGCGTGATACTTGTTCGCAAACATTAGCATTACGATTTTTCATTCAATAAGCATCTGAATATCCATGTGGGTCAGATTTATGTGATGATTCTAACCAGGAATGGTTAGTGTATTCCTCTACACCCTACTAGTAAATATTATTTTATTTCAACCCATTTCAATTACTTTCAGTACTGAAGCGAGCTTTCTCGATGTTCGATTCAAGCAAAAAGGGCAACATCGAGAAAGAGAAAGTGAGAACAATCCTAACCACCTTGGGGCACACGTACGATGATGCCGAGCTAGATGCACTCCTCGATGGGGAAGATCCGGAAGGTAAGTCTATCTCATCTCACAGTCAAACTCCCTTGCTGTATTAGTACAGTAACAAGTTTTTATGGTGACCAAAATCACATCAAAAAGAATAAAGGATATATTTTGCTAGCTAAGTTTTGAATGAGGTCCGCAATTATTTTTAAAATGAGTATGTTTTTTGGATGTTTGATGACAAAAAACAAAGGTCAACTGTAAATGTTAAATGAAAGTCAAATGTGTGAGTCTAGGGAAAATTCCTAGAAATTAAGTAAGCGGGCTGTCAATTCAGTGTCAATAGGTATCAGTGTCATCTCTTTCCACATTACAATACTGAGTTTCAGTAGAACTATTGTATTCGACTCAAAGGCCAAGGCGGAAGTGCTAGCCAAGATCTTTGCTGCCAACTCCACCATGGACGTCCCCACCAACGCCCAAGTGCCGTCAATTCAAAGGGTTCCCCACACTATGCGGGAAGTAACATTCAGGCATAAGACCGTAAGACGAGTGCTCTTGTCGCTCGACATCAACAAAGCTTCTGGCCCGGACTTGATTCCTGCCATTGTACTGAAGAGATGTGCAGCAGAGCTTGCTCCAGTTCTTTCGCGTCTCTTCCAGATATCTTATGAATCCGGCACCTTCCCAGAAAACTGGAAATTTGCTCATGTACAGCCCGTCCCAAAAAAAGGATCTAAAACCGACCCTTACAACTACAGGCCTATAGCTCTGCTTTCTGTTATAAGTAAAGTGATGGAGAGGTGCATAAATCGCGAGCTTCTGGACTACCTCGAACGTCACAGCTTGATTAGCGACAGGCAGGACGGTTTCCGGCACCAACGATCCACAGGGGACCTCCTAGCTTACGTCACGCAACTGTGGAGTAAACTCATCCAGTCTCAAGGTGAGGCTCATGTCGTTGCTCTTGACATCACGAAAGCGTTCGATCAGCTGTGGCACGCTGCCCTCTTAAGCAAACTTCCATCCTACGGCCTCCCAGAAAAGCTTTGCAGATGGGTGGCCGACTTTATCTCTGGCCGCAAGATATCCGTCGTAATTGACGGATTCTCCTCTTCATCCCACAACGTCAACGCGGGTGTTCCCCAGGGATCGGTCTTGGCTCCAACACTGTTTCTCTTACATATCAACGACCTCCTTTCCTGCACGATCAACCCAATCCACAGCTTCGCTGATGACAGCACTCTACATGCAGGAATTCAGAGTGACAAGCCGATCTCTGCCGCTGAGCTGGAAAAAAGAAGACTAGCGACGACTTATTCTCTGACAAGAGACCTGGAGGCTATCACTGCTTGGGGACGCAACAATCTTGTACAGTTCAATGCTTCCAAAACACAGTACTGTACCTTGACGAACAAAAAGCGTCCTAGCGCTCATACAGTTTCGATGGACGGTCGAGTTCTACCAAAGAGCCATTCATTTCGGCTGGTCGGAGTCCAGATCACCGAGGACCTGATCTGGCACGAACACATCTCTTCAATAGCTGCAGCTGCTGGGAAAAAGCTAGGCTATTTGTTTAGGGCTAAGAAGTACTTTTCTCCGCATGACCTTCTCACTCTATACAAGGCCCAGATAAGGCCTAGCCTCGAGTATTGCTCACACATTTGGGGTGCTGCCGCCCCGACTACATTATCCATGCTCGATGCTGTCCAGAGGAGGGCGGTCCGACTGATCGATGACTCTTCTCTAACAGACAGTCTCGGGACTCTTTCGCACCGGCGGGCCGTCGGCGATCTAGCTCTTTTCTATCGCTACACCAACGGGCTTTGCTCCTCAGAGCTCTCTTCCATGATGCCGCCGCGCGATGCGCCTGCCAGACAGACCCGCCTGACTTCGGCATCCCATCCTAACCGTGTCAAACTTCGTACATCCAGAACTGGCCGATACGACCGCTCCTTTGTCCCGAGGGTGTCTAGATTGTGGAACAATCTACGGGAGGAAGCTTTTCCCAGTTCTACTAACCTTAGGCAGTTCAAAAATCGTATTAACAAAATTTCTTTGGGATCATCATAGCAGCCGCGGTGTTCCGGCATTTAGGCTTCTGCCTGCGCGGCTGTTTCGATATAAAAAAAAAAAAAAAAAAAAAAGAACCATTTTCGCTTGGCTGCTTTACGTTGTCAGTCTAAAATGTCAAGACCTATACCATACTAATAATTACTGAAAAGTTTAGAACAATGTGTATACAGTTATGGTCACAGAGACAGGTACTATTCCTCTACTGGACTATAAGTCTACTGCAGCTTTCCTTGAAGCTGGTGAAGCTCCTTCCTAGGCCTGAATATCGAAAAACGCAGCTTTCGAATTGTTTCTTACGCTTCGACGGAGATTGCACCGTGCACGAAGCGTGAATTCATAAATAAACACCAAGGAGATATTCCAAAGACTAGGAAAATGTTTTATCTATATTGTAGATCTACTGCTTCGAATCTAAAGTGGTTTGAAAGCTCTCGTCGATAATAAATCTTCGCTTAAAATTGTGAACACGATGCGCCTACCTCTTTTCAAGCGGAAATGAGCTTCTGGTTTAATAGTATGCTATAACTCTGGGATAAAAAACGGCTTGGCCTTGAAATGACCTCCAATAGTTAGTATGGCTGAGAATAATATCAGAGTCATCACTTTGTTCGTTATAAAATGAAATTGGCTTACTGTTGTTGTTTTCACTACTTTCTCTCTACTCAATTTAAACAAATTTTTACTCATAATGGTAAATATAGATTCACCGCAAAAATGAAGCATTTTAGCATGTTGTTACTGCAAAACTATGAAAAGGAGGGGTCTATCTCTTTTCAAGAGCAAACGAACTACTGTACCGAAAGCTTCCTCCATTTTTTGAATAAAAGAGTGGTATCTAATTGCCAGAAGCAGCTTGACCTTGAAATGAACTTCAATGTCATAGTCAAGGTCAAGCGGAAATGAGCTTATGGTTTAACAGTATGCTATAACTCTGGGATAAAAAGCGGCTTGGCCTTGAAGTGACCTTCAATAGTTAGGAAGGCTAAGAGTGATATCAGCGTCACCACTTTGTTCGTGATAAAATGAAATTGGCTTACTGTTGCTGTTTCCACTACTCTCTCTCTCTCTACTCAATTTAAAAAACGTTTTACTCATAATGGAAAATATAGATTCACCGCAAAAATGGAGCATTTTAGCATTTATTGTTTCTGCAAAACTATGAAAAGACGGGTCTATCGCTATTCAAGAGCAAACAGCCTACTGTACCGGTAGCTTCCTCCATTTTTTGAATAAAAGCGTGGTATCTTATTGCCAGAAGCAGCGTGACCTTGGAATGAGCTTCAATGTCATAGTCAAGGTCAAGCAAAAATGACCTTATGGTTTAACAGTATGCTATAACTCTGGGATAAAAAACGGCTTGGCCTTGAAGTGACCTTCAATAGTTAGTATGGCTAAGAGTGATATCAGGGTCACCACTTTGTTCGTGATAAAATGAAATTGGCTTACTGTTGTTGTTTTCACTACTCTCTCTCTACTCAATTTAAAAAATGTTTTACCCATAAAGGAAAATCTAGATTCACCGCAAAAATGAAGCATCTTAGCATGTTTTGCTGCTGCAAAATTATGAAAAGGACGGGTCTATCTGTTTTCAAGAGCGAACGAACTACTGTACAGAAAGTTTCCTCCATTTTTTTGATAAAAGCGTGGTATCTTATTGCCAGAAGCAGCTTGACCTTCGAATGAACTTCAAGGTCATAGTCAAGGTCATGTGCCGTTGATTACGGCTTATGAATCGTGAATATATAAACGAACAAGGAGTAGATATTCCAAAGACCGGAGACATTTTTTCTATATTGTAGATCCCGTACTGCTGACCTAAATGGGTTTGGACGCTCTACTTGCCAGTAATAAAAACTCACATTCAAGTTATAATCAAGATTTGCCCACCTCTGATCAAGCAGAAATCAGCTCCTATTTTAGATATAAAAATCCACTTTTGAAACAACAGCATGGGAACTTGTTACAAAAACATAGTTTGACCTTGGGATGACCTTCAAGATCGTAGTCAAAGTGAGGTTTTGTTATTGGCTATGATATTTTAAGTTAGTATTCTCTAACTATGAATCTATAGTATCATAGGCTCTTGTTTCATTTATATAAGTGGTTCGCGATATGTCTGAAAACTGGTGATCAATATACGGCTTATTATTTTCAAGTGGCAATGAACTGGGATAAGAACATAAACTCTTCGCAATTTTTAAGATTTCCAAAGTGGTCCATGCAAAGAACCGTTCATCCTAGCTGGTCGAAGTCCAGATCAGTAACACGTCCTCCCATCTTAACCGTGTCGAAATTCGTACATCCAGAACTGGTCGATACGACCGCTCCTTTGTCCCTAGGGTATCGAGATTTTGGAACAATCTGCCTGAGGAGGTTTCTCTCAATTATACTAACCTTAGGCAATTCAAAAATCGAATTAACAAAGTTTCTTTAAGCTGTCCGCGGTTCTTCAGTATTTAGGCTTCTGCCTATGCAGCAGCTTTGGTTTAAAGAAATATCATCCAGCAGCGTTGGAAAAGCCACACTTCACGCAACGCATCCTCGTAGCAACTTTCGTGCAACTTGAAATTCTTCTCGTTTATAGGTTTTTAGTTGAAAATTATACTGTTATTGTGCTATTCATTTTGCAGAATGTAGATCCGTTGCTGTGCATCTGAAGTTGTTTGAAAGATCTTGTCGAAAATTAATCCTCGCTTCATCGTCACAATGACGGAAATGAGCTCCTTTTTTGAAAGTACTCTCAATTTTTATAATGAACACATACGAAAAAGGTAGCGTGATTATGAAGTACGATGAAGGTGAACACCAAGCACACTACGATAGGAGCGTTGTCTACATTTTTCAATATAGGTGAACGTGCATACCAAAACACAGTGCGCATTCACCATTTACTAAAATTCCACTATCCGCACATTTGTTACGAAACTGCATCTTTCAGGTTCTTGATGCGTTATGCAACTCTAGTTTATCTTATCATAGAATTTTCATATCGT